TGGAGGATGAAGTTCACATGGTCCATTAGTCCTTCAGATTATTTGTTCCCATACATCTTTGATTTTCTTCATTCTTCTTTGCTTAGGATGCAGAGAGACTAATAGCTGCACCTTAGAGGGCCATTTGCTAGTTTTTAAGACCACTATCATTGCTCACCACAGTAGGATACAGAACATTGCCTTTGTAAACTGTTATGAAAATAAGGTGGTCCTAAGCCTGAAAGCCCAGTGATTGATTACCTGAAGGTATTTGGTTATAGCTAAGAAGTTTTCATAAGTTTGTACCTTGATTGTTCTACTACATACATGGAAATATTTACAACACATATAAATACCTATGTAGAAATATGCTCTACCAAACCTATATAGTCATGTGTGTAGTACAATCTGTGTACCCATATATATTCAGCTTGCCTGTCTGCCTGTGTCAGGATAATCTTGAAATGTTCTTTTTGACAATTAATGTGATGCTGTTTCTCTTCAATTTGTCATTTCCAGCACAGTACACCATATGATTCCTCACCATGGCCATTACCAGTCCATTTCAGCTCACTAATGCCTAGGATATTGGTCTTTAAGCATTCCATTTAATTTTTCCTTGATTCATATTCCATCCATTCCATATCCAAAATATTAATGGATGTTTGCAGCTATTTCTATTCATTTTGAGTCATACCACATCAGCAAAAGGTCCTGAAAGCTTTACTCCACCCACATCATTTAGGCCACCTTTACTTTGAGGAGCCAGTTCTTTCCCAATCATATTTTGAGTGACTTCCAACTTTAGGAGCTCACATTCCAAACAATGTCCCACTGTTGTTCTTAAGTTTTTATTGACCCATTTTTTTCCAGAAGTAGATCACCAGGTCCTTCTTCCTAGTCTGACTTAGATGAGTCATGGATCAAGGACTTAAAGTGTTTAAAGAATCATTCAAATATTAAAGATGATTTTGAACATTCTCCTGTTTCAAAAAGAATGTAACTCAATATTTACATAAGAGCTAATTTTAAGTACTTAAAAGAGACTGTTTTTTCCTACATGCATTGGCTTTTAGATTTGGGCTATGTGTGTATGTGTGTATATAGTGTTAGAAGCTCCAGGAAAATGTGATGATAAACTCAAAGATAAAATATAGGATGAAAACTGGATGAGTAATTATAATACTACATACTCTTTTCCAAGGACAGCCCACCAGCTTTGTCTGGCAAGGTAGCCAACATAGGTTGTGAGGGACAGTAGCAAAAGATGGTTTTGGCTTTCACACAAGGGGCAGCATCTGGATTTAACTCCTGTGGAATGACAGACTCTGTCTCCTGAGAAAGGCCTGGACTCTGGGCTGGATACAGAACTGTTCTCATCTTTTCAGTACAGAATCTCCTTGGGCAGTGGCTGTCCAGAGACTCAGCATTCCCTCTCCCTCCAGCCCCTTCCCATCAAATAGAAGAATGTGATACTGATGATGTCTCAATGTCAAAAACATTCTTCCACACCTCTTCTTTCAGATTTGCTTAGAAGAAAACTAACATTTTCTACTATGAAAGAGTGAATTGATCCAAAATGAGAAATACCAGGTGAAAGGGGCAAGGAAGCTAAGTCCCTGTCTCCAAAGCAAGAAGCTATTAGTTAAATATGATCATTTTATGTACTTAGAGGAGAGCAAGTGCAAGTCTGTGCAAGGACCGTGAGATGAGCCTGGGCTTGGACTGAACACTTGGCCAGCTTGTCGTGAAGGAATATTTTTCCTGGGCCTGGGGGCAGCCTGAAGAAGCAGCAGAGCTGCTGTTCCCAGCTGCTTTGTTTCTTAGCCTATCTGGTGGCTGTTCAGGTCCAGGGGTCCCATGCAATGATGGGGAAGTAAAAGCCAGGGCCTAGTGCCAGGCCTGGCTTTATGGGTGTACGAACTGTACAATCCCAAGCTTCGAAGTATTCCAGGCTTGGTTTAATGCTTTGCAGCTTGCATCTTGAAAATCTTAATAATTTTAAACAAGGGCTTTCATTGTCATTTTGCAACGAGCCTTGAAAATTATGTAGCTGATTTTGCCTGGTTCTAAGGAAATGAACTTATTTCAGGCATCCAGGTCTGCATCATAGACATGGACAAAAGCCCAAAGGCAGTGGCAAGTGTAGGGACTCAAGGATCTCTGTCTCTTGCAGGGCCTTGAAATGCAAGAGACAGAGAAAAGAAGGGCCTTCAGCCAGGTAAGAATGTAAGAGCCACAAGAATCGAAGGATGGAGTCATATGGAAGTGTATCATTTTTCCTGATACCTAAAACGCCACCAGTTACACACTCTAGTATTTTAATTACCACCAAGAAAGCAAAAAGGCTTCTGATTGTAACTATACAATGCCACGGATTATCAGAAACACTCCAGTTTGAGGCTGTTATATAAGAAGCATTTATCTTTGAATCTCAAAATGTCATACTATTTTGATATCAATCATTCAAGTTCCTATGAAAACCTGAAAAGATTTGGATACAAATTTATTCTATTGTGTTTCATTAAGAATTAGAGAAATGTCTTCCATTTTTCCATCTTGAAAAATGAGCCAGTAATAAACCACTGTTCTCTTTCTTGATACAAAACCACTTACAGGGCCCAATGGTGTGGCCGGCTTGTTACCCCACAAAGCAGAGAAGGATTCCCAGGTGGTTTCCGACGTTTTCTTACCATTGCTAGATTTAGTAGGAGTTTGTGTGCTTTGCACATTGGTGTTCTACATAAAAGGGCTATTGTTTGCCACTCTAGTCCTGTAGGCACAGAATGACTCTTTATAGAAACAAAGCCCTCAAAGGAATCCACAAAGAGTTTTTGAAAGGCTGCTGCAAGTGGATGGGGGAATGACAAGGGCAACATGGTGACAGCATGCAGTGCCGCAGCTAAGTTTGCTCCCTAGAAACGTGCTCCTGCCCATGGCCAGCCCTATATCTACCAGTTACCACTCCTCAGTCACTGAGGGGCAAAGAAATGCAAAGTTGAGAAGATGTTTTTCCTTTTCTCTGGGGGTGACTGCCTTGGCTCCAGGCTGTGTGTGGGAAAAGGAAACAAGCACATGATGTTGGACACTATTGTCAAGGCCTCTTAAAGATGATCTGCCCTACCAGATAATCTATTTTTCAGGCTTTCTGATAAGATTTGAGTCCCTAGGTATTGTAAAGAGCTGATGTGCTCAGCTACTAACCCAAAGGTTGGAAGTTTGAGTCTACCCAAAGGTGACTTGGAAGAAAGTTCTGGCAATCTTCTTCCTGAAAATCAGCTATCGACATATATGTGTATGCCATGAGTCAGTCTACTTGACGACAATTGTTTTTTTTTTTTTTTTTTTAATTTGGTAGGACTTATTCTTCGCCTAAAACATTTAAGCAGAGAATTCAGGTTAGAGTAACACTGTCTTTGTTTATGAACATATTTAAAAATAAATATCAGTGTCAAACATGCTAACTTTGGCAAAACAGAAAATCTTGATAAGAAACACAATGGATGCACAGAACTCCTGTCAAACCAAAACCCACTGCTATTGAGTTGATTCTGACTAATACCAACCTTCATAGGGTTTCCAAGGCTGTAAATCTTTATGGAAGTAGACTGCCTCATCTTTCTTCCGTGGAACAGCTGGTGGGTTTGAACTGCTGACCTTTCTGGTTAGCAGCCAAATATCTTACCCACTGCACTACTAGAGCTCCCCGTCAAGACCTCATATCCAGAAGCAATTCCCCTCCCTGTGTCAAGCCAAGCTTTCGGTATGTGGCAGGGCCTGAGCTATAGGATCGGTGAGGAAAGAAGGGAGGGAAGCTCCTTAAGCATTACTGGGCCACTTGGAAAATTCAGAGGTATAAGCACATCCAGGCCCAACCTGTCCCGTATGAGCTGAGAGCTGTGGCTACTTCCCTGGGCTTCTTAAAAGCCTGATTTGAAGAGAGTGCTCAAGTAATCTTGTAAGATCTGTGTGAATGATTGACCATAAAGTCTTAAGCTTTTCTTAAACCTCACTTGTGGACAAAACTTTGCATTTCATGAAGCTACGATATACAATCACTTCTGCTACCTTACTGAGCTGCCACTACAAACTCTGGGTCATATTATTATCCTCATTTTATTAAGCACACCTGAGTCTAACACACCTGCCCAATGCAATACAGCCAGTATGTGGAAGAGCTGGGGCTTAAACGGGTCTTCAGTTTTCAAGTGACCTCATGGTCACTTACACCACTGAGATCTACAGATCATGTGACTTACCCAATACACAATATCCTAGTTATGAACACTTTGCATTAAATAACAAAATATTAGCATTTTTGTTGGCTGTCTTCAAGCTGGCCTCTGACTCATGGCGAGCCTATGCATGAAATTGGACCTTTGTGATCCACAGGGTTTTCATTGTATGAGTTTTGGAAGCAGATAGCCAGGAGTTTCTTCCTAGTCTGTCTTAGTCTGGAAGCTCTGATGAAGCCAGTTCGGCATCATGGCAACACAAGCCTCCCCTGACAGATGGTGGTGGCTGTGCTTGATGGGCGTGGCTCGGAATCAAACCTTGGTCTCCCACATGGAAGACAAGAATCCACCCATTGCACCACCACTTCCTTCTAAATCATAGTTTTTAAAGATTTTTAAAATGTTTATTTGGTCCTTTTGTTCCTAATTACTTTTTTTTTTTTTTTTTTTTCTCTTTCAAAGCACCCAGCAGAGGAACATGTAGTAGAGCTCCAGCTTTGTGGAGGGAGATTGGGCACCAGGGCTGCTACATCTGGGTGTGGGGGAACACAGGCAGAGCACACAGGCACAGGTGGGGAGTGTTTACTTTGAAGTACCATTCCTAACCCACAACCCCTGAAAAACTGCATTTTGACTGGACTTTTTTTTTTTTATTTTTTGGTGAAAATTAGATATCCAACAAGGAGAGCCACCACAAAAGATTTCCTAACAGCAGTGTAGTAGTTAAGGTTATGTGTCAACTTGGCTGGGCCTGGTTTTGAGTGGCTGGGCAGCTGGATGTAGTTATTCCCCATGATGAGACTGGCGATCAACCCCATAGTGGAGTCTGCTGGGAACAGCTGAGTAGCTGTTTTAGGGATGTGGTCTGCTTCCTGTATATAAGGAGAAGCTTTGGGAATGCTCTGCAGCTTTTTGGCATGCTTGGACTCTGCGTATAGCTGAGTCTTCATTTAGCAGCCTGCCATGTTTCCCGCAAATCTTGGGACTGTCTCTGGATTTGAACTAGTGGCCTTCTGTGTTGTTTGGTAATCCTGGGACTGTGCCATTTTGTCAATCTTGGGCTTGTTAGCCTCAGAAGCCAGCAGCTGCCTGAGTGAAGAGACACCTTAGCTCCAGTAGGCTGAGAGCAAGAGGCAGAGCTGAAGCCCAATGTCACCCAGCCCCTAGAGCTTGGCATTTTGAACTTGGATTTCTAGCTAGCCTCCAAAACTATAAGAGAATAAACTCCTGTTGTTAAAGCCATCCATCTGTGGTATTTCTGTTAGAGGGGCACTAGAGAACCAAAACAAGTAGCATTGTGGGATGGGATGGTATTCTACTTGATTATTACCAAGGCCTCTAGGGAGTGGTCTGAGATTATTCACTGGTAGTGGTGCTTAGGGACAGGTGCGTGGGGGATAAATGGCCACAGAGATGTTTTTTCCATCTCTATAGGATTCTAACTCAATTTTCATTTAACCTTTCAGCATTTCAGTGAAATTAATATATCCTAATTCATTACTTCTACTACCCCTCTGTCAGTTTGTCATACTGTGGTGGCTTACATGTTGCTGTGATGCTGGAAGCTGTACCAATGGCATTTCAAATACTGGCAGGGTAACTCACCATGGATAGATTTCAGGGGATTCCACACTAAGATAGACTAGGAAGAAAGGGCTGGCAATCTATGTCTGAAAATTAGTCAACCTTATAGACCATAACAGAACATTGTCCAACTCACTTGCTTTGGACATGTGGTCAGAAGGAATCAATCGCTAGAGAAAGACATTATTCTTGGTGAAGTAGAGGGCCAGAGAGGATGAGGGAGATCCTCAGTGACACGGGTTAGCACAACAGCTGAAACAATGGGCTCAAACATGTTGGTGATAGTGAGGCTGTTGCAGGACCAGACAATGTTTTTATTCTGTTGTAGATAAGGTTGCCAGGAGTCAGAGTAAATGCCACAGCAGCTAATAACAACAGCAACAATTCATTACTTGGATCATAGATTTTACAACATTTATGGCATCATTCTTTGATAATGGGTATTTCCAAGGCATGCAAAAGAAAAGAGAGGGCAGAGTTTTATTCCTGGTTGAACTAAATTCAACATGACACCCATAACTTCATTATATACTATCTTCATTACTGTATCTATCCTTGATAAAACACACATATTTTGGTGTCTTTGTCTCCAGCTAATATCCAAGTGATCAAGGATCACTATCTTTCCAAGCTACAAAAATCTCCACTATTGAATTTAAAGTGAGAGAATTAAATTCTAATGTATGATTAACTGTTTAACTTGTGGTTAAATACACACACACACACACACACACACACACAAACTGGGGTAGATGAAGAATATATATTTGCAAATATAATCTACCTCGGGATTCCATTTGCTTCTCTCCCATCTCTCAAACCCAGCTTAAATTCAGCAGCCTCTGATTAAAAGTGACATGCTTTCATTAGAGCTATAATATGGAGTTCTGAACAAGGTGACATCAGTTTAAATCACATTACTCACCCACAGGATCCATTATACTCAAATTTTCCCTGATTCAATTGCATCGCTAAATCTGTCAAGAGACAAAAATAATTTAGCACCTTGTCTCCTTGGACAAAGACGATCCTGACGGTGTAATTTTAAACAATGGAAACCAGATACTGACCCCTATCTCTGTAACACAAGGCACAGCGAGGTCTATCTAAGCATACCACTCTCTCTTCAATGTGGAAATGACCTCATATTGAACTTAATATACTAAAATGTGTTATCATGAAGATCATGCTAGAACTCCTAATTCCCCATATTTGCTTAAAATATTACATTAAATATGCAAGTCATATGATTATTCATTTAGTGCTGAGAGTAGAAATGTCCAACCTGGTACAGCTAGAGAGTATGTGCCTTATGACCTCACAGGAAGGGGGCACTGGAGATTCACACAACATTAGGGCAAAACTCTGTTGCTGTTACGTGCCATTGAGTCAGACCCAACTCATATAGCAGGAAACAAAAAAGCCTAGGTAAGCTTCATGTAAAAATTGGTGGCTTTGTTCCCAGTGTGAGACTTGGGGTGAATTCTTCTGGTGGGGTCTGTTCTTGGAGGGCATGGCTTACTAATTTTTCCCTTGCAGCTGGATAATATCTTTCCAATTATCAACAAAGAAATGAGAAAATTGATGGATATTTTGGTTGTTCTTCAAAATGTTGTAGTTAAATCTAGTATTATAAAATAAAACATAAGCTGACAAGGTGAATAAACTTTTTTGGGATCATTTAATCCATACTACAGATTCACTGACCAACTGAGTATGTACAACTTGATCACTTATTCAGTAATGAAATCATCAGTGACTTTTCATTTTATTGTGAGAAATACTCCAGGCCAATGGGAACACCATGAAAATTAATGACTATAATGGGAGACACTTTTGGTCCCTGAAGTAACTCAACCAAGGGCAGAATATGCAGTCAACTCACATCCATGGGAACAGGATGAGAATCAAAAATTGTTTCAGTCAGCCCCGACAAGAGAAAGTAGGGTGAGCAAGGAGTCTGAAAGTATGGTGGGTGGGCTAGAAAGGAAAATATCCTCTAATTGAGAAGATTGGAAGGTATTTTCATGTAAAGGACTGAAACAGGACAAGGGTTTTCTACTGGGTTTAACGACGCCATTTAACCATAGCACTCTTATGTGGAATTAACTGTAGAAAGTGAATAGATCACTCACCTATATTAGGTGAGCAACTAGAGCTTATTATTTTGCTACCTCCAATCTGATCATTGTGATCTTAGGTTTTTAAGTAAACCTTACATTCTTTTTAATTTGTTTATGTAGCTATAAAAGTTTGCTCCTGTCCTTCTAGGAACAACAACAATAACAAAATCATCATATATTGGAAACCTGCCTTTGAGCACACTTTAAAGAACCCAGTCATAGATCAGTACCTCTAAGAAGATTTAACTCCTCCTAGCCCATTTTAGCAGAATCTACTCTATAATATTCTGTGATTTTATGGTAAGATGCCACTATATCGTTGATGTCTGCTCAATGTTAACAGTGGTCAGGGTACCTTTCCAAAGATAATGAGCTATAGTTACTGTACAAAGATACTCAAATTCTCTGCAAATTACTCTCATTTTATCATGTCTTTGGAAACAAGGATAAAAAATTTTGATCTCAAAGGAAGAAAAACTAGAAATATGACAGACTAGGGGATAATGTTTAGCTAAGCAGTTCATGGCATTTTTGAAAATAATTTTACTTTAAATCAAAATATATTTTCTTCTATCATTATTATATTGCTCTTCACTTTGAGTTTTTGATTTCTTACTTTTATACAAATCCAAAAACACATTGTTTTGCCATATGTCTGCTTCCTTTAAAAATTATTTTCAGCCAACTGATGGTAATTGCTGGCACCATCCTGTCAAAGGCTTCCTGTGGAATTTGGGGTCACTGGACATCAGTGCCTACCTGGGGTTTGATAGTTCAGTGAAACCATCTGGCAGCCAGCGTTCCAGAAAATCTGAGGCATGTAATTACTGGAATCCACCCGGCCTCCCTTGGGGTAAATGCGGCTCATTTGCCGTTTGTTATAACTGTGTAATTTATTAAGGAAAACAGAAAAAGAAAAATACTGCTATGGTAGAGATAAACAGCTAAAACAACAAAGGTCTGGGCAAACAATGGCAAACATGAAGACATCATAGACAATTTTCACACTTATAAATAATGCTTAAAAGAAAATCACATTTTTGATTTATCAGAACAACTCACTTTTGGATAGACTTTCACATCTGCTGTGAAATTTCATATTTTATTAGGCATACAATCAAAATTATATAATAGCCATTTATCTCTTAGAGATGCCTGCTAAACTAAAAAAGCACCAGGCACTTATTCCACTTAACACATAAGGATACTTGACAAACTCAATTGCATGTGTCTTCAAGTAGCCTAGACCAACTGATTCATTAAAAGAAGACATGTTATAATGGATATTGCGTTCTGTAAAGAAAAGCAAAGATGTATTAAGAAACTGTGCCATCAAACTCTCACAGAAAGACAAGCAATAAATGTAATTACATCCTGAACCATGAGGCTTTGGAAGCAGATGTTATATTAGCCTATCAGTAGTTTCTACTTTCATTAATGTTCTACAGATGGAGACACTGCCTTTTTATTTTATTTTATTTAAAGAAAAACCATGATGAATTAAAGTATGAATCATTAAACAAATTGACCTCAATTGCCACAGCCACCCTTGAAATATTAATTTTTAATGATGATGATGGCTTCTCCAGCCAAGAAATGATTATGGAAAGTTTAACAATACTTGGTACATTTTTGGAGACCAGTTTCTGATGAAAGGAGGTTTGTGAAAGCATATGGAATGCTAGAGGTTATGTATGCTGCAGGCGAGGGGGAGGGCTAGTAAATCCACAGTCTTTCAGAGCCACCCTGTGGATGATGGGGAGAACAACAATGCAATGCCACCACCCCATGCCAAGGATAGATAAGCAGCTCTATGGTGTTGGAATAAAAATAAGTTGAGGTGCAATAGCCCCCACCCTAGAAAAGAAAAGAGCAACAAATCAGCTCAGAGCTCATCAGCATAACAAAAGAAAAGCAGACAAAAAGGCTACTGCCTTTAATCTTTGATGTTACCTTCAGCCACATTGAAACCTTGAAACTTTACAGGCTGTGCATAGTTGATCATTGTGGATAAATATGGATGGATATTAGTGGTAGCACCTACATATTTATAAGATGCCATCCATGCCTGCTCATCTTCTACAGTAACCAGGCCCTACAAACACAAAAGAAGGGAACACATGTCCATGAATTCAGTGGGACTCACTCATATATACTGCAGACTTCTTTACAAAGGCATTTGACTGCTAACCAGAAGGTCAGCAGTTCAGCTCTGTGGAAAGAAGATGGGGTGATATACTTCTGTAAAGATTTACATACAGCCTCAGAAACCCAGTGGGGGTCATTATGGGTTGGAATTGACTTGATGGCAGTGAGTTTGGTTTTTAGTTTATACCCAAACTGAAAGATAATAAAGACTTTTTCAATTATGCTAAAGGATAATTTAAAAAGTTAATGTCTACTGTAGCTCTAAAGAATGCAAAAGGAGGTAAAAGTAAAATATTAAATCTCTATTTTCAAAGGACTTTAAAACATTCAAAGAACTATATTGAGCCTCACAGCCATGCTATGAAATGAGTACAGCAGGTATCCTCACTCCAGTATTGGTCATATTTTCACACACTGAGGACCACACATTGGGGACCACACCTTGCATAACATTACTGTATAGTTTAAGCCCCATATATAAGTAGTTTGTTAAAGTTCATTCTTCTATTTTGGAAAAGGATAGCAATAATGGTAGCACAACATGAAAAACGTCATCAATGTCCCTGAGCTGTAAATGTAGATGTTATGTTGGCAAATGTCTTGTTGTGTATGTTTTCACCACAGTGAAAGTTAAAAAAAAAAATAAATAAATAAAAAAGTTTATTCTTCATAAAATCTGACCTTATATATCAAAAAAAAAAAAAAAACACACACACAAAACCCAACCCACTGCCATCAAGTCAATTCCAACTCATAGTTACCCTATAGGACAGAGTGGACCTGCCCTATCAGGTTTCCAAAGCTATACATCTTTACAGAAGTAAAGTCTCATTTTTCTCCTACAGAGCAGTTGGTGGGTTGTAACTGCCGATTTTCTGGTTAGCAGCTGAATACGTTAGCCACTGCACCAACAGAGCTCCTCATTATTTTAAGGAAAAGTGCAGATGCCTGAACAGGGACTTGAGCCCCAGACCCTCAGATTAAAAGTCTGATGCTTTATAAACTAAGCTATGCAGGTGCCAGTAAAACTGTATTATTTTGCATAGAGGAAAAGAAAACAAAAACTTTTGGTTTATTTCTTGGTAAATCAGAAAAAAAATCAGTAAAATGGACAAAAAAAAAGCCTTCAAAAGTTTAACAATTTGTAAAGAATTTTGAAAAGCTAAATTTCCTGCATAGATTGAATATAGATGGATAAACTACTTAGTCACATTAAAAAATTCCTGAGAGAAAAAATAATGATCAGATCATTAGTTTGTCTCAATTGTTAATAATCTGGGCACTCTAAGTCATCAAATGAATTTCACCAATGAAAATCTGAGAGAAATAATTAAATAATGTCATTTTATTTATTTATTAGTTTTGCAGTGTTCCCTCCTCTCCCCTCCCACCCTGATAACCAACAAAGAAAGTTTCCTTCCATACATAAACCTTTCCTTGACTTTTTACAATAATGAACTAATATTTGTCCTTCTGTGATTGAATGTTACTTTTTTAAATCCTTTTTTTTTTTTTTTTTCCGGTATGTCCTGACTCCTTTTATTAGAGCAGGAGCTATGTCTGATTCCTTTCTTGTGTGTTTAATGGTAATAACTACCACAAGTATTATATGCTGGGCACCAGGTTGAATTCTTTGCATGCTCAACCTCATTACCACCAGGAATCCTGTAGAGTATGTATCAGAGTCCTATCCATTGATCATACGAGAAGACATAGGACATGAGCATTAAAAAGTCTCAGTCAAAGCCACTTAAGTAATAAAAAGCAGTGACCCAGATCACAGTGACTCCAATACCTTAAGAAATTCTAGCATGAGAAAGGAGAATATACTCACAAACATCTGGGAGGAGGATTGTGATAAGATTTCCTCATTATTTCAAATTTAATGTTTAGACATAAGAAGATAGGACATCACTCCAAATAAGAAAGGACCCCTCAGAGAGCAAGACAATGTTTTCTGAAACTATGAAGTGTAGGAATCAAGATACAAGGCAAATTTCTGCATGTGAGTGTTATCAATTTTCACCTTCATATAATAATATATATTTACTAAATAAGAGCACCTTGATGATTATGAAGAATTTTGGGTAAAAGAGGATAAAAGAAATTACAAATGTAACTCTATTTTCTTTATCAGAAAGCCAATGTTTAATAACAATTAAAAATTATAGCACGTACGCAATGTGTAGGGAGCTTTGCTAACCAGAAGGCTGATTGACGTTTGAAATCCACCAGCCACTCCTCGGAAGGAAGACTGGGCAATCTACATCCGTCGAGATCTGCCTCAGAAACCCAAGGAGGGGTCACTATGAGTCGGAATCGACTCGATGGCAGTGAGTTTGGTTTTATTTTTTTTTAATGCAATGTGAAATTAACCAATGATCTTTCAGAATGTCAGTGTCGTTGGGACAAAATCACTTTTCCATTATGCTAACACATGGATTTGATGACTCATTAGGTCATTTTTATTTTCT